TGCGGGGGGGGGGGGTCAAGTAGGAAACAGGAAAACAGGAGTGGAGCATGGGACACTTCAAGTTCGTTTTAGATGGCTTAGGGCTGTTCGGTGTCGATTTTTTCAGACCGGTTTTCGTTGACGAAATATACCGATTTTTCACCGAAATATCGGTTTACGGTATTAAACCTATAACGTAAAACGAACCGATATTTTTAAGTTAACCGGTATTGTACAACAAACCGGTATTTTCCAAAATACCGAACTTTTGCGTTTTAAAACGGTATTTCAAAAAATGCGTTTTTTAAAACGTGACAAAAGGCAATCAATGGCAAGGGAAAGCGGAACAGTGCAAAAAAATCAATCTTCGGTGAAAAAACTTCCACAGTTTATTTATAGATATATGATACATACGGCGAGGCCCTACTCTCGGGCTTATGTTACTTCTTTTCAGTTAAACACATGTTGTTCATAATAATTCGGTTAAAATCGTTCAACCGGTAATTCGGTAATCACCGTATTTTCAGTGAAAAATCGGATTTTAGTTAACCGGTTTTTCACAAACAGGACACCGGTTAATCGGTGACAGCCAAAATACCAGTTAAAACCGAAAAACCGGTTCACCGGAACAACCCTAGATGGCATGGCCAGGACGCGAGTAAGGGTCTAATGTACTTTTTCGTACATATACGTGGATTTTGCACATTTATTTTTGATTTCGTGCATGAATCCGTACCGGGTGTTTCAGAGAAGAGGCGGGTTTGCCTTCCAGCTCTCACCTTAAGGCGCCATGGCCCCTTGGGTAGGCAGACCCGCCCGCACCTGCGTCTTCTCTGAATCACCTAATACGCACAAATAACGTTATTAGACCCTATGAAACATTAATTTTCCAGTTTTGGTGTAGAAGACTATACAACAAGTGGCTGCTAGGTGACTCGGAGCAATGAAGCAAGTCTGCAAGACTGAATATCACAGTGAAAATATCAGAGGGAATTTCATGTGTGGGGTCACTCAGTAAAATTGAAGATGGCATTATGGCATTATGTTTCAGAAAACCGTGTTCTTGTTGTCCACAGACTCTTTAAAAATAAAATGCTGGATGTCGCTAATAGCTGTAGAAAGGGAAAGCGGAATTCATATTTGTAAAATACTCTCACAATGGTCTTGTTTGTTTTGGTAATGTAGAAGTATTTACAAAAGTGAAGAAATGTGCTTGTCCCATGGATGTCTACTTTATTTGTAAACAGGATTATATTGCCATAGTTCGACTTGCTTACGTAAATGTTGCTTTTCAAAGTGAACATGTTGCAGTTCATCACAAACTAAAAAGTGAATAAGGCAATGATGTACATGTCGTTGATGTAAGTTCTCCGAACACAACTGTTGATGTGAACAATGTAAAATATGTTTGTGAACCAATGAATAATTTTGAACTAGAGTGATAATGAAATGTGAACAAAAACCCCTGTTCTGCTTATTTCCTCCCGCCCTCCACAGCCGAAGCAAAAATAATGAGTAAGTGGTCCAGGAAGCGAAAGAAGGGGATGAGTGCAAAACCACAAGTGTTCAGGAAACACCAAAACTGTTTTACGCTACAAATTCAAAAAAGTGCTGAACTTTTATTTTTCAGTCTCATTCTTTGAAGACTGATTGACAAAATGGCGAGAGTAGAATATTTGATATCGACCCTATCTAGATTTTAAAAATGTATCTCCCGTAAAAATTTGCGTAAAGGGAGATTAGTCGAGTTACTCCTAAAAAACCAATACTTCAATTTCTTACAAAAGGATTTATCTCATCCATCAAATGTCTCTAAATCTATATCACTCATGAGGGGTCAATTCGATTTGTCTCCTTCAAGTAAAACCTAGAGGTAAAAGGTGATAAGTCATCCTGACTCATTTTTCACGCCACTATATCTCAGGAACTATGGCACGTAGGCAAACAGTTTTTTTTTTTTTTTTTTTTTTTTTTTTAAATGTGCCGCTCCCTAGATCAAATTTAAAAACTACTTGCGGACAGACCGCCAAAAGGCCCTTATAGTCGACGCGGTAGGCAAAAGAATCCAGCATTTTGTGAAGAAAGCATAAATTTTTGCACAGTGGTACTATGGACCAAAACGAACATTTTGACCCGGAGTACCGGAAGTTCCGACCCATAGGAGCGGCTGGGGCGGGTAATTCAAATTTGAACTGTGCAAATTCCAAAAATGTCGTTTTGACGATTTCCAAGTCTGTTCTGAATGTCAAGCACGATCTAAAACATTACGTACGCACTGTTGGTGAGTGGAGGGCGACTTACTGACAACCTAAAACCACTTCTAGTCGCCCACAAACCGGAAATGGCGCGAAATTTGAATCTTTTCTAGTGTAAGAGCTGGATGTCGCGTTCAGAGCGCTATTTGTATAGACTGTGGGTACTTATCATATTGTAGGCGTTCGGTAGTCACTATTTTTACAGCATGGGTCCACTTCCGGTCTCCGGAAGTTGGAAACTGCCCGCGAAATTTGAATTCACTGTGCAAAATTTCATGCTTTCTTCACAAAATGCAGGGTCCGCCTAAAAGGTCGAGCTAACCGCGTCGACCACCCATTTGAAAGGGACGCCAAAGTCATGACGTCATTGTTTGGCGCGCGCCTATTGGTCAGAGGGAAAGTGGCCACGTTGCACAGGGGCCGGCGTGACTTCGTCGTTATGTGGGGATTATTTGACGAATGTTTCGTGAATTTTTTCTACATTTTATGACATGCAATAATACCCCGACGTCCGCCGAATGTCCGAATTTTGCCATCGCTATTTCGCGAATATTTCGTGGCGTATTGGTGATGATCAATTTCGTCGTTATCGAGCTGATATTTCCATGTTGGCAGCGCTACGAAATATCGGCGAAATATCTCTATTCAATTCAGAGGTACACGGGAACTAATCCTGCTGATGCAGCTAAGTGCTTGAGTGCTCTGTGACCATGCTACAGGGCTGCGAAAACACGAGTCGCTCGGTGCGTCTGCATGTCTCTCTCCTGGCGGCCTGCCGCCACGCCAACGCTATGTTTGGCCTGTTTCTGCCCCTGTACCTCCTAGGGCACTTTGCGCTCTCAATGCTGAGCACTGTGGTTGCCGTACGCAGCAGCGCCAGCGGTGAGGTCGACCTTCACGCCTTGTCCTGCCTGCCCTACCTGTTGGTGTTCTTTGTGCCCATGTGCATCGCAGGCCAGCGCGTGCATGACGCCAGCTACGGCCTAAAGGACAAGGCGTATGCGGTGAGAAACGCTTAATCGTTTGTTGCACTTGCCATCGTTAGCCTGTGTAAAATTTCTCGCACATCACACTCCAGGATAATAGTTTTGCTGCCCGTTCTAGTTTTTGGCCGAACGATTAGCAAAGCCCACCTCCAGTGGTGATCAAAAATTTCCGCGTCTGTCTGTCTGTGCTCAAAAAATGAAAGTCAGAATTTTCCAAAGAAAATCTGTGCACATAGTTTGGAAGAGTGGTATTCCAAAAGATTGTTGGAAATGTAATTAATTTTACGGACATTTTACTGGAAATTTCCAAACAATTTGGAAAACAGAAAGGTACGATTTTACACGAAAACAGCGTTTTAAAACAACAAAAATAACGATTTTCAAAGAAATTTAGAAATGTTTGGCAAAATTTCATAGAAATTTTCCACAATGTTTGAAATATAGTGTTTCCCAAGCTGTTTGTATTGAAACATTTCCAAACTACTTGGGCTGCAAATTTTTTCAGTTCATTGTATGGAAATTTCCATTAAATAATTTTACAGTGTGTGTGTGTGTTTGTTTGTCATCACGATAACTCGAGAACGATGTACGCTAGGTACGTAAAATTTTTGCTGTAACTTTGTAATAAAAAAGGCAAGAACTGTATAGATTTTCAGACCTCGAGCTTAATAATTGACCTGTCAAAAAATCAAAAGCAAAAAGCCCAAAATATGCCTCGCCTGCCTTCAGAAAAATATTTTTGGCGGGCGATTAGTGAAGCCCATTACTCCACTGACCGAAAAAGCTTCATTCTGTCTGTCCGCACGATAACTCGAGAAGGAATTGTAATAGCGATCTGGAAATTTCAGGGTTGGTTTAATTCATAAAAAAAGAGATCGAGCTCGAAGATGAGCATTCTAGCTTAAAAATTAATTTCAAAAAAATCAAATCTAGGTAC